TTTGAGTCGTTTATAGAACCCAGAGTAAGGGATGATAATTTGCGTTTATTATATTTAATTCATTACTGTAAAGGAAAAGCAAGAAATGCGATTGAAGGTTGCCTTATAATGGAACCACAAGTGGGATATAAAAGAGCTAAGGCTATTTTAAAACAGCTCTTTGGACAATCGCATGTGATAGCCCGTGAAACTGTGGAGGACTTGTTAGGTTCTGCGAATGCGGACTATAATGATCCAGAAAAATTGACGGAATTGGCAACTAAAATGCAAAACGTCGCTATTACTATGGAACAGTTAAATTGTATTGCAGAACTAAATTCTCCAGTAACTTTCGAGCGAATAGTTAGGCTCTTACCTCATCGAATGCAAGCCCAGTGGGCGGAGCTGGGAATTAAGTGGGACGAAGAGGAAAGAGAACCTAATTTCAATGAATTGACGGATTTTATTATGTCTCGTGCTAAGATAGCTAGTAGTAGATTCGGAAGATTAGCTAATCGCGCTAAAACAGGACATGGTACGGAAGCTATTAGTGATCTGCGTGCGAGACATGAGAATTCTTCAAATGCGTTTACACCTACCTCACACCCGGAATTTAAGAGAGTTATTAATTGTATCAAAAGTGTATACCCTCTTGAAAACCGAGTATGTGACCCCGATGATTTAAAACCCCTTGACGCGTATCCTAGTGAGAAGCCGGTTTGTGTAGCAGATAAGATGGCTTTTTTGAGTAGGGGAAAGAAAGAAAAAGGCGAAAAGGGTAGGCATCAGGATTGATCCGAGGTGTGTGATGGTAAAAGCCTCTTAACTGCTCGAAAAGCAAGGAACGGTTATTTGGATTCGAGCAAACAGAGGTTAGAGAGTACACTGAATATGAATGAGGACAAAACAGGATTGGCTGGATGGAATAAAGCTTATGTTCGGAACCCTTCACGTAGGGTAAATTATTTAAGAGGACCTAGATTTGATCCTAGGACAACAAGTGTAAATAGTGACACAGCACATCATGTTGCTGAGCAATCAGGATGTCTGCATTCCACTATATCTAGTTCTATGTAGCATAATGATATTGAAACGGAAGATAATAGCAGCTTCGCGCGTCCTGCTGATGTTTGTTTACGGTCAACGGATGGACAGTTGTATACTGGTCCAAGTAGTCATAGCAACATTGATAGTGTTAGTGAAAGTGGTAGCAGTGGTTGCCTAGCTTTAAAGCCTGCATGCCACCTATCTTGCAACTCGTCATTAACTATGAATTGTCGGAACATCATTGTGGACAACAATAACGTCAAAGTCAAGGTGAAACCCCATGTATCTATTAATAGCGTAGTTGATGTGAATAATAATAAAGGTAATGGTAACGATAGTGGAATCACTATAGGTAGTGCTGTTTCTTCGGTTGCTGTTACTATTGTAGCTTCTTTGAGTGCTTCAGATCAAGACGAAATTGGATGTTTGAGGGTGGATAATGTAGGCGTCGGTGGCAATAGCTGTAGCTACAGTGATGGCAGTACTGTGAAAGCTAACATTCGGTACCCTAGGTGCAATGAGGAGTCATCTAGGTCTGATGGACATGCTGTTGTGTTGAATATGCAGCATGAGGAATCGAGCATGGAATTGTCCACCTGTCGCACTCCATCATCATTGACTTGTACTACAAGCTTCGTGATGAGCACTACCAACAGTGATAAGACAGAAGAGGCTAAGAGCATTCCTAGTAAAGAAAGCAATGTTGGTCGAGCAGAGTTAGCCACTGTGCATGAGTCAACTGGATGTCATGAGAAGTGTACTACTGCTTGTACAGCTGCGGCTACTAATGATAATAGCATTGATGATACTCCTGCGAGTAATAGTGATCGATGGAAGTTGAAAGACACTCATCGTCGTCGAAATGATCGTACGTTACGCTCACATACTGCTACCCAAGCTAAGAAGCATACGAAACAACATGCTGCTACTATAATAATAATAATAATAATAATTTATTCTCAAATAACTACGTTACAAGAGACATGCCAGTTTACAGGCTAGATCAAATTGTCACAAATTCTTTTACAATTACTGTAAAGGTATAGCAGTTAAATTAAGCATAAGAGTCAGTTTCTGATTGCATATTTACACCATGTCACTGACAGAAACAGTATCATACAGCCACATTTTCAATAGTAGAGTACAAATAAGGAAGGAAGATGCACAATAGGTTCTTTTGGCGATTTGCCGAGATCAGTAGTGAATTTGTAGGGAAAGGTCATATGGAACGCGCTTGATACGAGCTGTGATCCAGACAGTCATGTACCCTAGGGTGCATGTTCCCTAGAGTTGCCAAGGATTTCCCACCGTGAATGGGGTTCTGAAAAGGAGAAACAGAGAGAGAAAAAGGCAGCAGTGTGGCAAGTGTATATATATAACCAAAGCACTACTTAACCTGTCATGTTGAAGTAGTCAATACAGTAGTGTGTCAAGATAAAATTCATACTGACCACTTAAATTAAAGTAAATTATGGGAATATAAGAATGTAACACACAGATAAAGGAGTACAGCAAAAAGAAGGGAGAGTTGTGCAGTGTCGGGTGGATAGAAGAGAAGTCGAAGTAAGAAGCTGGATTTATGTACGTTGAAATCGAAATTCTAGTTGAAAGAGTAGAGTTTGCGAAAATAAAAATTTGATGAATAAAATCTCGCACTGTCTAACTGTTTTTTTTAATATTATTGAATGCCAACCTCTAAGTCATACTGTAAGCGCCTGAGTAAGAATGTTGCGGGTGTCTCGACAGAATAGCGACATCAGCATAGTTTTGGAAACATGAACCACAGAAGTAGCAAGCGTATAAGAGCAACCTTAGTGTTACTGATTAGTCGTCTCATCAATCTAAAGAGCCGAAAGCAAACAAAATGTTCTGCCCCACAAACATTGGTTGTTTGAAGTTATTGCTCACACCATCAATGTTTGCTGGTCAGTAACTCCACCAGCCCAAACTTCGTTCTCTTTCGGATGCTATGACTAGCAATGGAAATAGTAGTCATCGGAATCTTAGTAGTGACAGCGATAGTAAGGAGACAGAAAGTGTGAGCAATCCACATATAGTGACTAGTCGATCAACTTCATCGAACGAGCCTTCTAGTGTTTTGATGTCATCGGACTCTGCCGCGAATGCTATGTTGGTTGAGGATACACAAGGTTGTGTAACTGTAAGTGTTCCTACTTCGGTTGACTGTCAGTCGAGTGATGATGAGAAGGAAGCGTCTGATGATAACAGCCAGTCTACAGTGTTTCATGATAACGAGGCTATTGATGTGCATATGTCTTATGTCCATGAAACAGAACATATATTTCGTACTTAGATTGAAGTTTTTATGTTTGCATCGGAACTGTACACATGTTGTTTAAATTTGATACTTAATATGGCTACAGCCATGTTTGGATTTGATACCGTGGCAGTTAGATCTAGTATCACTTATTCTTTTGGATTCGGATACCCATCAGGGACTTGGAAGGTGTATTAATAGTCAGGTAAATGTTTGTATTTCCATTTTATTATAAAAATAGACCGCTTTCTCCTAGAATTATTGTGTTTTGATATTGGACTGGGGGATAGCGCGTTCGACCTACACCTACTGGAATCAAAGTGAACTGCTAGGGTAGAAAATTCATCTACAGGTAGTATCCAGAAACTCTACTACCCTGAGACAAACACTCACTCGAATAAAAAGACGTACGAATTCATAAATAAATGCGAAACTGACTAGAATTAATGCGTTCAATTCGCTACGCTACCGCTCATTGAAAATTACCAAATACATGAGACCTAGCTGAAACAACAAGCAGCAAGCGTAAGAAAGTGATCGGTGTATACTAGCCCGTGGTATAGACAATGGATATTGGGTGGCCTTGATGCCGTTCCGCAACGCGTTTGAAATATTACACCTGTAGCGGTTTGGAATGCTCCTAGATTATCTGAATATAATCTTCCGTGATTAATGATTGTTGTTTGTTACTATCCTTATTGAGCGTTTAGTGATGATGGGGCTGAGACTGACTATGATCACCACTACAGCTATTACAGGCCCGTCACAGAAACGACAACTAAATCCATGGTAAAGAATATATTTGCTGGCGATTTCGTGGTGTCGAAAGAACACCAAGATGGAGCTACGAAAGTGAGGCGAATTTACAGAGCTGGCAGAGCAAAAAATGACAGCAACACAAACAGAAAGTTTGTGCATAGAGAGTGTTATAAACAAAAAGTTCAGTTAAAAATCGCTGGTAAAATTCGTTATAATAATGAATGTTTCTATTAAACCGATCGCGCTCTCTGCATAAAAGTGGATCCACTGCAAGCGCAGATGCCTTTTGCGCGCTTGTTAGGTCGTCGTCTTCTTCTGTTCTCTTTTCCAGTTTTCCCTGCTCACGCTACTGTACATGCTCCCTTACTACACAAGGCTGGACATTGCAGTTCACTTCACATACGAAACTGACTAGAATTAATGCATTGAAATCGATAGACTACCGCTCATTGGACGTTACCAAATACATGAAACATAGCGGAATAAACAAACGGATTATCGTCTCCATCGTGGACAAGCTGTACCTGGTGCATATCTTGAGACTTGCTAGTTGTTATTATTGCCATCTCTTCAGATCGCTAACTTAACATATCTCGCCTATTACCTATGTTTCCTCTCCCTTGCCCACACTTCGCTCCCTTCTCACAATCCTCACTACCAATTAATGAGCTAAATTATCCATTATATACTTAGTCCAGAAATCTTACTCTTATTAGCATTAAAATTTTCTCCTTATTATTCTCTATATTGCAACTGACTGATCTCGGGCCTGGCAATGTGACAGCTTCTGGTATCCAGATATCCTACTGCCCTGAAACAAACGTTTTCATTCAAATCACGGGACATACACACTCACAACCAACTGCCAACTCACAGTCGATTGGCTATGCCACCGTTCATTGGACACTACCGAACACCTGGAACCGTACCGAAAGAACAAGAATCGAGCGCGAAGAAATGAAATCGGTTTATACTAGCTCGTGGAAAAGATATTGGATATTGGGTGGCCTTGATGCCGTCCTGTAACGCGTTTGAAATCCTACTCCTGTAATTGTTTGGAATGTCTGCGCTCTCTGCTCTTAGTTTCGCTTCCTAGATTATCCAAATCTGACCTTGCGTGACTAATGACTGTTTTTTGTTACTATCCTTATTGAGCGCAAGTACAAAAAGCTGGACGTTGCAGTTCACTTCACATACTTGTGAGTTTCTGAAAGCATAGTCACTGAACTGTAATCACCTTTTTCAGGTGTGTTATTTTCATCGCCTCGTCTAGTGTGGCAGGAAAAGTTTTACAAGTCGGTGATAAAAATAGACTGCACTTTTGAATAAACTTGGCCAATTACTGTCATTGATTATTTATACTTATTCATACTCTTCTGTCCATCAACTCCTTATTACAGTTTCTGAATGCCATAATAGGTATCTTATTTTCTTGTGCATCAGCCTGAATGGATAACGCTCGGCAAGGAGCTTGTAATCTGCAAACGATTTTATCGGAGAAAGGTTTTTCATTCTCGTTATCAGATGTGCAGGAATTTTTGGATGTGCTTGAAGGAGTTGCGCTGAAACTTATCATTACCAATGTTCCCTCAGAAGTTTTCAAATATGATATAGCACAGGTGCGATTTCTTACGTTGATATTGATGCTTAATTTCTAGGGATGCTTCGAAGACCTATTCAAGTCTTTTGACGACCAATCCAAATTTGTATACCTCCCGAGTTTTCATAGAGTCTTAGTAAGTTAATGACAGTTTTTGTTGTCAGCTTCAATTAATTTTCTCGTTTTTACTCAGGAAGCCTGTACTCCAAACAACCAAAGACAACTGCTCACCATGTATCCTAATGACCTAAAACCGATTTACAACGACTGCAGATATGTTAGTGAATTTTTAGTCAGCTGACATCTGATTTTAATATGACGGACTAGTTTTACTACAGTCGTTCATTCGCTATCCTAAATATTTGTTGGTCATACATGGTACATTGTAGATAAGGTGTAGAGTTTAGTAGAGGCCAGCGAGTTTCAATAAAATCTTGTTGTTGTAGCCTGCGTATCATGATGTAGCTTCCTGGATACTCTAAAACAACAATTTTATAATCGCAAAGCACTCACTCTTAGCCCTAGTAAAGTGTAGGCCTCCGACAAGCATTCTCCACTCTACTCTTTCCTGGACCTTCCTTTCTTCTTCTATCCAATTATTCCTTCTGTCTGTCTCTATTTCTCAGCCTAATGTCTTTTGGTCTTCAGGATTCCAAGTGAGTATGTGCCTTGCGACGCAGTTGGATGCTTTCCTCAATGTGTCCTATCCATTTCCAGCGCTTCTTCCTGATTTCTTCCTCCGCTGGGATCTGGTTTTGTTCTCACTCACAATAGGTTGTTGCTGATTATTTTTGGCCAACGGATCCCAAGTATTTTGCATAGATGATTGTTAATGAACTCTTGTATTTACCGGACGATGGCTTTCGTAGTTCGCTGAGTCTCCGCTCCATACAGCAGAACTGTTTTGACATGTAGGATTTAATTTTTCCTACAGATGTATTTCTAGAACTGTAAACGCAATATTGGCGAGCATAGTGTCTGTAGGAAAGCTATCGTCAAAAACAAGACCAATTTCGTTTTAAACTTTATCTGTTTCTAAACGTAAAAACAATTAGATTAGTACAATAATTAAGGAAATTACAATTATCAAGTAAAACGAGCAAACGTACCGACCAATATAGCTTGTCTTATGGAAATGAATAAAGTTATGAGTCACATCAATATCATAAGATAATAATGTCCCTCAATTATTAGGTCATTTACAACAAAGAAAGTTTACAGACACGTCAGATCAGATCACATGGTGGGCGCTTAAACCACAATTTGATTGGTTAGTTATGACATAACTACAATTAGTTATGGAAATAACTAACAGTATTAAAAATCCTGACTGGTGTTGGTTGATAGTTGTTTTGAGTTCCGGATGTTCTTCAGCTGTGGAAGTACTGCTTTTGCTTTGTTAATACGTGTCTTTACATCCGTGTCAGATTCACCTTGTTTATTAGTGATGCTAACCAGATATTTAAATGTTTTTGCATATTCCAGTGCTCCTCAACGGTGGTTTGGTTGGTGCATGTTGTGTTGTATAGGAGGATCTTACTCTTCTCTTGTGTATGTTGAGACCTAATGGTGCAGAGGCTGCTCCTATACTGGTCGTCTTCTTCACCTGTTGTTACGTGTGAGTTAGAAGATCCAGATCATCTATGAAGTCTAGATCGTTCGGCAGCATCGTAGCTGTGTATTGTATCCCTTTCTTCCCCTCAGATGTTGACGTATTCATAATCCACTCGATCACCAGGAGAGAGAGAAAGGGTGAGAGTAAGCAACCTTGTCTGACACCGGTCTTCACCTCAAACGAGTCTGTCAGCTGTCCTCCGTGCACTATTTTGCAGTTTAATCCATCATAAGAATCCTATATGATGTTGACTATCTTCTTAGGCACGCCATAATGTCGAAGGAGCCTCCATAGTGTTTTCCTGTCCACGCTATCGAATGCCTTCTCATAGACAACGAATTCGATGTAGAGTGGTGAATCCCATTCACTTGATTGTTCCACAGTAATCCATGATGTTGCGATTCGGTCGATGAACGATCGATCCTTGCAGAATACAGTTTCTTGGTCTCAAAATTGAGCGTCTACGAAGTCCTTCATCCTGTTTAACAACCCTGTTGAGAACTTTTCCTGTTATCAAGATAACAGCAATGCCTCTGTAATTCTCACACTTGCTGAGGTCGCCTTTCTTTGATGTCTTGACGCGGTGACTTTCCAGTCTGTTGGTGCTTGTTCTTCATTCCAAGTCTTGCTGAACAGAGAATGGAATATCATTGCACTTACTATTATGTCAGCCTTCAGTGCCTCAGCTGGAATGTTCTTTGGTCCCGTTGCTTTGTTTGTGAAATCACAGGAATCAGTCTAACTAGTATAGTGTGTAAATTGTTAGTCTCGATAATAGTTAGATGCCTTACTGGTGCTCGTGAAGAGCTATGTTTTGTGATGAAGGAGTAGGTTGGAAGAAAGCTAGGGGCAGCCAAACCAAAACATGTCACAAATCCATGAAATCACTGACAAGTGGATTGAGTCATGTTTGTAGATGTAGACTACCTGGTTGGGGTCAGCGAGATGATAAAATTCGATGGTTAGAGACCTTGAACGACGTGGCTCAAAATCATTTGCAATGGCGCAACTGCATCCACTCTTTGTGCTCTCTCAAATTCTAACCTGAATTCCTCATCATCTCTATCTTTCTCTTTCGAAAGTTATCTCACTGAATTATACTTTTCGAATCATAACTTTGAACCCTAATGTTCTTCATTACTGCTAATACTATTGTTACCATTATGGGGTTTGAACTGACAGTTACGTCTCTGTGCGGATGCCGTTACGGCAACCTGAACTTACCTCGTCGAGGCAGTCGGTGGTTAGGCATACGTAACACATGTCCAAACCACCCCAACTGATGAAGCTTCATTACTTCATCTATTGACCTGTCATTCTTAACCAGCACCCGTTTCCTAACTACAGCATTGCTTACTAGGTTGTGCTACGATACATGAGCAATGCTTCGGAGACACATATGGTCGAAACCAGTAACCTGCGAATATCTTCCACGTTGATTGGCCTTGTTTCATATAGCCATAAAGCGAACTGCTGCGCAGTAAAGTCATCCTTTGGTTAGCAAACGGAAATCTCGCCTGCCCCATAAGTGACGCATGTCTTTGACCAAAGTAAACAAGAATGGAGAAAGTGGACATCCCTGACGGACACCACTTGAAGTAGAGAATTCCGATGACAGTTCACCATTTGCTCTCACTCGACCAGGGGTGTTCGAGTAGAGAGCTTGTATACGGTTAATGTACTTCTTTGTTTCACCTTTTAATGACAGACACTGCCACAGAACCTCACGATTCACTGAGTCGAATGCCGCTTAAAGGTCAAGGAAGACAACTATTGTAGGACGCCTAAATGTGTGTCTGAGTTCCAGGACCTGACGTAGTATTAAGA